AGTGAAATGGGAACCTATTAATAAAGCACTGCTGAATGTTTAGGGTTGTTTTTTTTTCCCCCCATGTCTGGTTGGTGCAGATAGAAATGTAACCCCCTGGTCTGGCTAGTGTACATTGTAGGTATGTGGCTTATCTCTTTATACTGTCTGACTACTGTGCTTCTACATACAGGCCTTTATGTAGATCACCTTCAGGTATTCTCTTGAAGCCTATTGACCAAAATTTTGAAAATTATGTAATCGGGTATGCTTTCCTTCTCAATACACTTTACTAGTCACAGTTCCAAACCGCTGAGAAGGGGAGGCAGACACAAAATTCCAGCCCTGCCGAGGAGCTGTTTGCAAACTGACTTTTTGGGGAAAGGAAAATCAGTTTTCTCCAATGGACTATCATCGGGTGCATCAACCACACTCTATGTGAACAGGAGTACTTGGCCAGAACAAATGAATCTCACATTTCTTCTGTGGGCTTTTTGTTTCTGCTTTACTTTTTAATTTTGAAAGGGAACAATGGAGTTGGGTGGGTAAGGAGGTGAGGAGGACCTGGCAGGACTTTGAGAACTAGGAAGAACATAATCAAAATATATTGTATAGAACTATTTTTAAACAAAAGATAATCTTAAAAAAGATTTAATAATTGAAATAATTGTAGTATTGTGTAGCTTTTGAATATAGAGGCACAATCTGATATTTACATAAAAAAATTTACCTTTTTCATTAGAATATCTCTTGGATTTTTAATACATTTTTCATTAAGCACACCTTTTTAAGCATTGAAAAAGAAAATCAATGAGAAAAGAAAAGAATAAATTGCATTAAAATAAATAATAGTATTTTTAATTTATAATTAACAACTTTGTGCTGTCACAGTCTCTGTGAAGTCATATGTGTATCAGTCCAGTTGTTCCTGGAAGCTGCAGATTCCTTAGAGTCAATCACATCTGGCTCTAAGAACCTTTCTACTTTCTCGTCTTCATAGATCCCTGAGTCTCGAGGGAAGCAATTTGGTAAAACATTTTCTTGAGGACTCTCTCTCTGCACATTGTCCAGTTTTGGGTATCTGTGTTAATTCCCATCAACTGAAAGAAGAAGCTTCTCTGATGAGTGTTGAATGAGGCACTCATCTTTGGGTATAATGGCATAGAAGCTCCTTGATTTGGAAAGAAAGAACTCTTAATTAAAAGCAGACTGAGTGAAAATATGTTAGATTGAAATGTTTTCATTTGAGGAGAGAAGTCGATGTGAGGAAAGTATGATAAAAATATCTTATAATAAACAATGTCTGGTGAAACTCTTTTTGAATATGATTTGTACACTTCAAATATAAAGTTGAAATTTATTCCTTCTTTCAAGGTTATTGCAAGGAAGCCTGCTTGTTGGTTCCTGGCTGCTTAGCACCAAAATAATCACAAAGAAACCATATTATTTAAATCACTGCTTGGCCCATTTGTTCTAACTTCTTATTTGCTAACTCTCACATCTTAATTTAACCCATCTCCATTAATCTGTGCACAGCCATGAGGATGTGGCCTACCAGCAATGTTTCACTACATATGTCTCTGGTGGCGGGTCCATGGCTTCTCTTTGACTTCTCCTCCTTTCTCTCAGCATTCCGTTTAGTATTCCCCTCCTTGCTCTGTTCCCCTATAGTTCTGCTATAGGCCCCAAAACAGTTCCTTTATTAACTAATGGTAATCACAGCATATAGAGGGAAAACCCACATCACAAGGTATCAGTAGGACAAGAATGACCCGGGTATAGTGTTGGGAGGCAGGCCTTCAGCAGCTGATTGGGATTAGATAAAAATCATCCAGGTGGAACCACATGATTGAATACTGGAAGCTTGATAAGTGAAAGAGACTAGTGACTATCAACAGATACATTCTCCGTGGGTCTTTTTAAGTAACCATATTGCTGAGAGGTCATGGGTACATTTTCCCTGCCATTGTGTAAGGGACACTAATCCGACAGACATCCTGGTCTTCTTGTTTTTATAATCTTTCTGCTGGCTTGTCTTTTATTTTCCTGAGCCTTAGGTATAGGTGTTACATTTCAGGTGTATTGGTTGGGGCAGGGTACCCCATAGTCACATTTTATGTGTTTTGACCAGGTTTGGGCCTCTGTAATAGTGTCCAACTGTTCCAAAAAAATCTTTGATGAGAAGTGAGAGCTATACTCACTGTGGGTACAAGGAAAAGTATTATACAAACAGTTCAATTGTTTTGGTTGAAGAAACTGGCAATAATAGATTCTCCTCTGAAATCTATGATTTTTTCGGTCATAAGTAGTTGGCTATGTTTACAGAACCAGACAAATACCCTCCTGTTAAACAAGCCTTAGGTCAAGCGAGGGATCTGTGCCAATGATGCCCCATTATAGATGCCTTGTGGTTCAGGCATTGCTGCTGTTTGTAGGCTTACAGCTAAATAGGACTTTGATTGTTTCTTTCCTTTGTCAAATAATCTTTTGTTTTTTAGCTTTAATAAGTTATAAATGTCCTTACTGCCTTTCTTTTGTTATTATTTTTCAGATTAATATACAAAGTAAAAGATTTAAATGTGGAATCCCACACATAATTGTTTTTATTGGTCTTTTACTGATTCCCCCCCCACAATGCCCCTCCTGTGGTCCTTCATCATCCCCCCTACTCCTTTCAGGTCACATGGATTGTGGCATGCTCTTTCACCCCAAGTGAGATACCCCCTTTCATTTCCTATACCCCCTTTCTAGTTTCATTAGCCCCATACCTCACACATATAAGGTACAAGATTAAAAGCTAACATACTTGCATGACAAAAAACATGTGGTAGTCCCAGTTCTCAGGGTTGGGAATTGTTTGCTTACGATAGTAATTTCTTCCAGCTCCATCAATTTTTCCCACAAATGCCATTATTTCATTTTCTTTTTTTTTAATTTATTAAAGATTTCTGTCTCTTCCCCA